CTTGTTGTTTGTGTGAAACTCTGTAAATTGTGCTGCTTTCTGTCTCGGCCAGAGTTTTTTTAACCAGGTTCTTAGTGCACAAACGTTTGAAGATTTTAAATTTGAGTGTGTGTGCGGACGTCATTCAAACTCCTTAGTATCACCTACAAAGCCCTCCATAACCTTTATTTCTATCCTCTGAAAACTTAACAAAACACCAGAATCCAGTTCTTTGCAGTGGGGAAACGTGTGAAGGTGTTTGTCTCTGACCTGGAAGTGGAAGACTCCTCCGTAACCCTCGGAGAAGCTCTGCTCCTCAGGGATGACGCGGTACAGAAGCTTCTCGTTCAAGGTGAGACAGGCGATGGCAGCCAGCAACCAGCAGTCACCTGCACCAGGACGAGGAAGAAGTTTGATTAATACAGCAGAGAGGTTACACGTCCAGCTAACTCGCTGTTAGCAGAGGTGTCCCTCAGGGCCTGTCTCTGTGCATTGTAGACAGTGTGCAGGAGTTTGAGTAAAACTTTTGGTGATTAAAGACAAGAACCTACGAAACGTTTTGGTGCCTCGGACTGTAAGTGAGGGGGCGTGGCTTTTGAGGTAGCACAGAGTGGAGGGGGCGGGTGTAGACTGAAGGAATGCTACTTTCAAAATCAAGCTAGTTTTAGAATATTAGCCTTTAACACGTAACTAAAGACAGACATGAGCTTCTCTGCAGGACTTTTATTTATAATTTTTTTGCAGGAGGAAGAGACCTCGGCTGAGTGCTGACGTCTGTGTTTTCTGATTGTCCAGGTGTGTGTGTGTGTGTGTGTGTGTGTGTGTCAGCCCTGCAAAACAATGTAAGATTTTTTTTCCAACAGAGAACATTTGACAGCGTCTGCCAGGACCTTTGTCCCCTTTGGTGCCTTTTATTTGCAACCTGAACAGAACAACAATGAGAAGTGCTGCTGGCTGGATTCCCTTCCAAAAGAGTAAGCACAATGTGCAGAGGCCGCGCTGTGGGCGGAGAGAGGCCGTGTGCGGGGGGGAGCCCTGGATGTTTTCTACTCTGTCACCTCCAAATTGGACTCCATATCACACACACCTCCACACTTTCCCCCTTTTTAAATATCTACGAGGTAAAGACAGGTACGCTGAGTTCAGATCGAGTCGTCTCACTCAGGCTGTTCTGGAAGTTCTTACTAATTCAAACCAAGCAGGGGCCAGCGTCTGTTTATTTTAAAAGTTAATAATAATAAAAACTCTCCGTCTACAGCGCTTCAAATCCAAATCCAAGAAAGGGGGATGAGGAGCACAAAACAGCGTCAGAATCTGGAGTCACACCTGCAGCCGGTGCGTCGAGGACTGAAGCCTCCGTATATGAGAGGTCGCTCTACCAACTGAGTTCAACCAGCGCCCCCAGAAATCCCTTTTTTGGAGGATTCAGACTTTCCCCACACAGGATCACGTAATCCAGCTCACTATTAACCCGGTTGTTCAAAGAAAAACTGATCCAGGTACAGCCTTTTAAGGATTACCAAATCTGGACGAGTGATTCAAAGACAAACATCACATTACATACTTTGTCCACAGGGGGCGCCAGAATCCACACAAACTGAAAGCTCCTCGCGGCTGCTTTAAAGTAGATCTAAATGTTCGATATTGACACTTTTTTTGTGATTTTTTACCTTCTCTACTTTCTACTGAAGCAAGGCAGCATTTTAGTTCAACATATTTTAAAAAAAGAATCTTAAAATATGAACTAACTTGTAAAATCATTGCTTTGTTTGAACACTTTATGAGCTTCCTCTCAGGTTCTCCCTGTAACCTGTTTGAAACAGCGCCCCGCTCTCTCAGGATGATCCGGACTGAAGGATTCATAATGTGTCATTTTACCTCTGCTTATTATTTATTTTTGTTTTGCTCCTCTGATGGATTTCATATTGTTTCTGGTACTTCGCAGTGGGCGTGGCTTAACCTTATTTGACCTGTTCCGGTGTGTGGCAGGTGGCAGACGAAGAGGGGGAGTGGGTTTGGAAAGTTTCTGTTTACCGTCATTAGCATCATCTTTCCGATCCTGGTTGCAACAACGGGTCCTTGAATATTTCTTCACCTGGATTATCAGTACTCTACACGTTACTACGTACTACCAACTCTGTCCAAAGGGGGCACCATAATCCACACAAAGTGAAAGGTCCTTACAGATACTCTAAATAAAAAAATGTATGTTCTACACTCAAAACTTTTTGATGAATTATTTTATGGAGATGAAATCTATTTTTCCGTCGACTTAATCTTCTGTCTAAATTTAACAATTTCAAAATAGCGCAAAATATGAAAAAAGTGTCTAAAGCTTAAACTTTATTATTTAAAGTTTTATCACTTTACGTTCCTGTCATCCAGTCTGAATCCGGGTTTAAAGTAATCTGAGTAGTGGAGTCACAACTCCACAACTTTAAAGTTTCATCAAAATAAAAGCAAAGACTAGAACGTGTGCCTGATCTAATCTGATTCCTTATCCTTTTTTTTTTGCTGTTGAGATAAATCCAACTTCAAGACTTTACTCAAACGTGAGCCGCTGTATTTCCCTGAATTTTCTACATATATTACTTTAAGCCAGATTCAGCCGACAAGTCCAGAAAAAACATATTTGAAGATATAAAAAGTTAAAATAAAGGCAGAGTTTGCTCTCTGTCACAATATCTGCCAATGGAGCCAGAAAATGTAACGTATTAAATGTCTGAAATGAGATGATTAACTCGTTAAGGAAAAACATCTAATTTCAAGACAATCAAGTCAAAATTTTCAGCCCAAATGGCAAATTTTTAAAATGTTTTTTACATATTACGAGCAGTTCAGGCCTCGTCTTTTCGCTTCATGTATCTTGAAATAAAAATGTAATGAATATTTGTCTGGATTTGTCAGATGAATGTGGCTTCAAATAAGACCAAAGGCATGTTTTAGATGATGAATACACTTGCTTAGATTTGAGTTTCTGCATTGTCCAATCTGATATCTTAAACCCGAACAACAGGAGTCTGGTTACTTTAAACACAGGTTTCTCTTTTCCACTTTAAGATCATTCCCTCATTTAGATCAAAACTAGGATTCTGCTCAAAGCATGAAGTCCACTGACCACGAGGACACGCTCGATGGTGCTGAGGTGACAAAACTGTGACTTAAAAAAAAGAAGCAGATTTACCCAGATCTCCCTGGCAGATGTCTGTCCTGCTGGCTCCTCCGACGATGAACTGAGGGTTTTCACAGATTTCCTGCAGAAAGTCAGAAAAAAACAAAGTTAAAACCTTTAAAGCAAAAAGGACCAACAGGTGTTCTCTTATCACCTAAAACATCCTCTGATGAGTTACAGGACAAAGTGTGTGCTTATGATTCTGGAAAACACTGAGATAGGTCACAAACATCCGATATTTTACAGCCATTATCAAACCAGAAAGAGAGAATCACCGGCCTATCGAAAGGCACTTCAATCCATCTGTTTTTAATCCCATCAGGTGAACTCCCACAGCAGACGTTAGTTTCCATTCAGTTTCCATACGTCCCACCTCCCACATGTCCCACACTCTGATCCCCCTCCTACCTTGGGCCTCTTCCAGACGATGTTCTTGACCTTGTTGGACTTGTGTCCGAGCTCCTTGAAGCCCAAAGACTCCACGGTGGCGGGGAAGGAGTCATCCTCGAACAGGCTCTTCCTCTGAAGGCACTCCTGTCTGAGGACGCTGAAGTCCTGGCCGTTGAAGCGGAGGGGCTTGTTCAGAGACCCTTCCCCGTCTCTCCTCTCTCGTTCCCGGATCAGCCGGTCACAGAAAAATCCAGACGGTGTGTACGGCATCTCGTCTCAGCTGGCTTTTTTTTTTTCTAACTGGCTTTTTGCAACTTGTACTACAGTCTTACGAGCCTGAAAACGCTGGCATAAATCCAAACAGCTAAAGTGTGATTGGCTCCTTCTTTGAGTGACGTCCCCCTCTCCCCTTCGTCACAGAGTCGATGCAAAAGCTTGGTGTGAAAGACGCATTCTGTCCACATGCATTCACCTTTGCATTACCGTACACACACATAACGCACAGACACTCACACGTTACATGCACGTCTATTTGCTGCTCTCCTATTGGCTGGAGGGAACAATGCTCTCTCCCCGGCTGTGGTGTTCGGGTGCCATCATTGTTGGGTGACACAAAGGCCAGCGGGCCGCGGCAGAGGGCATGTAAAGAGTGGTCGGTAGATGCCCTGCCTCAGCAGAAGGCATTCAAGCCCTTTAAACCTGTTCTCAATGGAGCTCAGCATTGAGCAGCCTCAGCATAACCACAGCAGGCTAACGCCACGGAGAGGAGCACCGGCCACTTTCAGCACCTGTCGGAAAAGTCACCATTACAATCTCGTCTGATGGGCGACCTTAAACACAACAGACGGTCTCTTTAGGTGTCACGCTGTCTTAAAGAGCGCTTTAAAGAAGAGAATCACAACACTCGGACTGATGAGACCGTTAATCTGATGATTTTCCTCTCAGATCATTGCAGGAAAAAAACTGAATAAAACACTTTCAGGACTGAAAAAAAAAGGAAAATATTTGTTTTTTTGAAATTGCTAAATTTCAAAATTGAATCGAGATGAATCACTTTTTTAATCGCATGTTTGAAACTCCATTATTTTGTATTTAAAAATATTTTTATTTATTATTTTTATACTTTTATTTTGAATGTTTGTCCTGTCTTGAGCTAAGAGTACCTTTCTTGCTGTGTGCTTTTATTTTGAAATAAAGTAAGGCCCTTCCTGTAAGCTGGAAGGTTAGGACATGAAGCTAATCACAGCTGTTAAAATCATCAACCTGAATGTGTTTGTATTATCCTTATTTATTTATTTTTTTTAAACAAGGCGGGCTTTAAAAAAAACAAACAAAAAAAACATCTGGGCTGGGAAAAGGTCAGGTCACACCAACAAACAAACAAACACAATGTCGTTGTCACCAGGTGTTAGCTTAGCATGCCAGCAGGTAAGAACAAAGGAGGCTCTGTAACAACAGGTGTCAAAAGGAGCTGCACGAGTTTGTCCTTTATTCACAGATTAAAATCAACATATTTAATCTACATATTATAAATAAAATCACATTTTTAGATTTGAATCTTTGTTCAGACTTCTTGATTCAAACATAAACTGAGATTCAGTCAGGAAACTCAGCAGAGTCAGCGGAGAGACGATGTGTTCATCAAAGGGCTCAAAAGTTCAATATAAGTAAAAAATTTAATATTTGGTGCTGTGTCCACTTCGGGGTCTTAAGGGCCTTTCTGATAGGATGTGGTGTGCGCTGCATCGCTCACCGCGGGGAAGAGCGGGGGGGGGGGCAGAGCACTCATCTGCAAATCAATGGGCAAGTTGCTAAGTGACATTCTGCATCCTATCTGAAAGACCCCTTAAACGAGTCTTTATTTTGTTCTAAATGTTTATTTACTTTATTTATCTGAGGGTTTAAATGACGTTCTTCGTTCCTTGACTCAAACAGTCAAGAGGATGGACAATCAGTGGTCGACACTTTCACAGTTAACCTATCTGTATGTCCCAGTCTGTGGTCACTCGGAGGTCCAGGTCGTTCACTGTCAGCGTGCTGCAGCTCTCTGTGTACTGAAACGCAGCACGGGTGTCTCCAGCTCCTGGGGTTGAAAAGAAGCAAATTAGTAGATAGATAGATACTTTATTGATCCGAGGGAAATTCAAAGCATCCAGTAGCAGGTTACAAAGACGTACATGACATGAAACACTTGTTACAAATTAACCACAAATTTTCAAAAAACAGACATTAAACAACAGGCAGAGCAAACAAAGTTTCGCACAAAGACAACAAATCGACCATTTTAAACGTTCTGACTGACAGAACTCCTCACCGGACACATGAACCACCACTGAGGACGGTTTGCTCTTCAGGCCCAGGATGGAGACCGACTGAACGACAGTTTCACACTCATATGTTCCTTCTTCACTGGCAGGACTTTGAGACACAAAGAGAGATCATGAGATCATCAGGTGTGAGGCGTCCTCAGAAGATTAACAAAACCTTTAACTTCCAGATTCTGTTTCCCTTAAACGACCAAAAGTGGTAAGATGGACCTGAGTGAGTGCAAAGCTCCTCCTGTACTTTAAAGAGCTTATTGATTAACCAACCAAAATGTCACTTTCTGCACCGTGCGCCTTTATTGTGAAAAGCTTCTTGACCTACATGAAGTTACTTTCTTAGCAGGTGTGATTTATGACTCACCGGCAGAGCAGCCGGCCGGACAGCATGTTGAACCTGCGCAGGCAGAAAGCCTTCCTGTCCCGGTAGCTGAAGGAGTGGCCGTCGTCCAGGTACAACTCACCATCAGCGGCACCCTGCAGAGAGACACTAACTGAGTTCTCCTACAAGACGTTCAAATCTTTTTCTGCCTTTTATTTAGAGACAGGACGGTCGATAGAGTCTCATATCAGGGAGGGAGAGAGAGAGTGAGGACATGCAGTAAAGGAGCCACAGGTCAGATCACCTGAGAGTTTAGGGCCACAGTGATGGAGAGCGGCATCCACTGAACGTCAGCTGTGCAGGAGCCACTTCCTGTAGACCTGCAGACCACCGAGCCGCCACGCTGGAACACAGGGACCTGAACAGAGGAAACACAGGAAAATCAAAGTGAGGACACGTTGTGACAGCACTTTGTGTGTCTTACGACGGTGCAGTTGCACGCAGAGACCGTCAGTGGGCGCCAAAGTGCGCCAGCGCCAAATCTCTGCATATTGTTGCTTTCAACCTTTGCAGCAACTCAGGTGAAAGATTCCCATCATTGTCATGATTTGTGACTTTACTTAGAAAGGAAAAGTCTCTAGAGGAGCCACATTATTAAATGTATTGCAACTCTTTTTTCCATTTCTTTATGTTCTGAATGTAAATTATGTCGTATGAATAGTTATACTGATACTACCTGAAGTGCTGAATGTTAGAATAATAAAAAATGTAAATAAAGCAGGAACAGGAAAACTACTGACGTTGAACATCACAGTCTCTGCTGCAGTGAGAAATAACACAAAAACTGACTGACTGTATCCATGGTGACGGGAAGACTCAGCGTCCTGCCTCCTTTAAACCCCTCTGCAGAGTGGATATCGAACCAGACCTAAGACAGAAACGAACAGAACTGTAACATCTGTGTACAGAACATTTAAATACATGACGCACGTGTTACCTGGTGGTTGACTTACCTCAGCAGATCCAGGAAGCAACACTTGGATTTCTTTAACTTTGGGTTCAGTGACAGGACAGGCCAGCAGAGCTCGCCCTGTATGAGATAAGAGACAGACTGATGATGTGACGACAAAATATAAAAAAGGCAAATTATGTGAAAAAATAATATCATTAGATTACCAATCATGTACTGGTTGTCCACAGAGAAGGTGTTCTGTTCTCTTGGAAATTCAACCCACAGAGGTCTGCAGAGGTTTGCATGAAATGGGAAGAAATATTATTTATAGTAAATCAAAAATGCACGAGCTTGTTTATTTTTTTTCCAGTCGTCTGACTCCTCAAAGCTCTTTTACACCGCAGGTCACACCAACACATTCACACACTGATGGTAGAGGCTGCTGAGTAAAGAGTCCATCAGTATTAACTCATCCATTCATACACACTGCCGCTGAAAGCAGCTGCAGCAGCAACTTGCAGCAGGAGCAACTTGGGGTTAAGTGTCTTGCCCAAGGAGACATCAGACATGTAGCTGCAGGAGCTGGAGATCGAACCCCCGACCTTCCAGTTGAGAAACGACTGACTCTATGACATCAAACATTTACCTTTGTAAAGCTGTTTGATCCAACACAGCAAGTATAATTGTGGATAGAGGAACTAAGTCCCTGAACACTTCAGTACGGAGTTTAAATTTCTAGCATGCAGTACCTCCAGTGAGCAGCAGGTGGCAGCAGACTCACCTGAGAGGAGGCAGACCGCAGGTGTGAGAATGGTGGAACAGAGTGTACCAGTACGGCAGCAAACAGTACCTGAGACAAGACGAAGCAAAGAAAAACAAATGTGAGAAACACAAACACGGCATCGCTACAGGAACCATTTAAAGAATTATTATAAATGAATCTTTGGAAATATAAGCTAAGATAATCCTTTATTTATCCCACAACCGGAAAAGAGCAAAGACTGCAAACAAAAAGTGAACGCAGTAAACAATTTAAATTAAAAAAATAAGATAAAATAAAAATGTACAATAAATAGATAAGCTACCACAATATAGATTTAAAAAAATATATTTAAAAAAATAGATCAGTTGAGAGCTGCAGTTTTGACAAAAATGTAGTCAGCAAAATATAACATGAATTCAACAAATGCAGATTACTGTTTAGTGATTGACTCCTTCTTAATGATGTGAAACTTCATCTTGAATTTGATATTAATAGCATGTTAAATGTCAGCTGTTTTGGACGGTTGTTTAAAGATGGGTGATTTTTTTCCAGGTTTGAAACTAATCCTGACACACACAAAGCTACGAAAAAAACAAATAAAACTGTGTTTGTGAGTACACAATCTGGATTTAGTGAATCCTCTGTGGTAGATTAAAGTACCTCTCCTCGATCACAGAGCGGATCGCAGCTGTGACTTCCTCGCCGAACAGCCAGGGCTCCCGGCGCTTTGTCATCTTTGCAGAGTGACCTCTGAAAAACGGCTGCAGGGCAGCTGCTTGGTACCAGCGGATCAGCAACTCGGGCTCCGGATCCTGAACGAACCCACCGACATCAGCTGAGAACAGACGAGGGAAGAATATGACAAAACGACACAATGTGTTGATGAATGTTTGATTCTCAACAGTGAATAAAAAACATGCACAAAGTGTTTTTGGTTGGACTCACCTCCACAAAAAGCGATGCCTGCCACGCTCAGAGACAGGAGCATCGGGATGGAGATCTTCAGGTAATCCCAGCTGGCGGCGTTGTCACCTGTCCACACGGCTCCTGCATGCAAAACAACAACAATCGAAACAAAAGTAAAAAAAAAATGAAGAATCACAGAGTACATTGTGTTTATTATTCATTTTAAAACGACATACCAAATCTCTGTGATCCGGCAAAGAAGGAGCGTGAAAGGACAAACGGTCTCTGTGAGCCTCCTGAGCGAGTGATCAGACCCTCGAACGTCGCCATGTGCTGCAAGAAAACACGAGAACGAGTGGAATCATTTCTGCACCGACAAAAGATACGATGACAGAGGAAATGAGCAGTATCAAAGTCGCTTAAACTCACCTGGTGGAAGCCGTACAGGTTGTGTACTTCTCTGTGCGCCAAACCCCCATAATGCACTGCGTCTTTCGGCATCGTCTTCTCCGGCCCGTCGAACACAGACGGTTCGTTCATGTCATTCCACACAAACAATGATGGAGTCGATCCCTGCAACAGACAAAAACGCTTAAAGACTTAAAACAAAGGCAAGGCACGTTTATTTCTATAGCACATTTCAACAACAAGGAAATTCAAAGTGCTTCTCACAAGACATCAAAAAGCATCATGACAGAGGAAAGAAAAGAAACATTAAAATAGAACATTTTAAAAATCACTGAAATTATTAAATCTGAAAATATGTTCAAATAATTTTTTTTAAATTAAAATAAAATAAAATAAAATAAAATAAAATAAAAGTAAAGAAATTAAAAGAGTTAAAAAAAAATAATAATAATAATTACAGTGCAGAGTGAAAGTTTAAAATCTTATTAAAGCAGTTTAATTAAAGGCAGCTGTAAACAGGTGAGTCTTCAACCTCGATTTAAAAGAGCTGAGAGTTTCAGCAGACCTGCAGTTTTCTGGGAGCCAAAAAGATTTATTTAATTGATTGATTGATTGATTGATTGATTGATTGACAGTCACCATCAGGGTCCAGAGAAGTCCTTCTGTTGTTCATATGGATAAAGAGGAATAAGCTGGTTCTGTTTTTACCTTGTACTTCTCCAGGCCAAAACATCTGGAGTACCACGCTCGAGTGTCTGGACTGCTGAAGTCAAGGTAAGAGGATTCCCCTATGAGACGGTGAAATTAATAAAACGATTAATAAAACAACTAATGTGAGTACTATTTGCCTATTTTGCTTGAAGTGGCGCTTGGGAGGAAAAATGCCTCAGAGTCATTACTCCACATATTATTATGATGATAACAATCTAACAATGATGTTTCAATACTTTCAAGAATTCAGTTCGGTGCTTTTGGAACCAACAGAAGGTCTCGAGTGCAACTGCATGTTGTTACGCCCGCCCGCCCGCCCAAGATCATTGAGGGCGACCCTCATTTACAATGATGCAGAGAAAACATACAGAAATGATAAACAACGAGAAATGAGATAAAGCTACTGCAGAAAATAAAATCAATAAAAGAGCAATAAGAACATTAAAATATATACACTAAAATAATTTAAAAGCTTGAAATGACTACAGTGATAAGTCAGTAATTAAAATAAAATAGTTACAGTCAGGTATTGGGCGGTTTAAAATAATATTTTTTAAAGTGTCCATAAGGGATAAAAGTGCTCAAATTCAGGTCCTGTTGTAAAATATTCCAGGAGTTTGCAGCACTAACACATTTGTTGACTAGCAGAGGAGCAGTGTTGTGGGAAGACAAAGATCCACATCTAGGGACGGCACCAGGATTGTTTTCTCCCGGTGCTGAGGAGGAGCGTGACTAATATGTCGGGGTGTTATGAAAAGTCAATTTGCATGAATTCAGTTACTTTTTAAGTTTTCTCTTTTTTTTCTCAAATAAAAGCAGACATACGTTAGGGGGCTTAACCAGGGCTAGACAGATTTGTGATGCACTTCCTGCTCTGACCTCCACCTCAGCGGAGAGGAAGTGTGGACAACAGGAAGTGAGGAACACAAAGGAGAAATCCTTCCTGCATGATATCCTGTATTCTCTTTTAGTAAAGCTTCTGGAGATAACACTTGTTGAGAAAGACGTTACCAGGCCAGCACGAGCCCCGATAGATCTGCCCCTCTCTGTTCTTCACAAAATGCCCTCCGTCTCTGGCCTCGCAGTACAGCAACCAATCAGGATCGACCTTGATGTGGGGGTCACTTATCACAACCAACTGAAGGAGAAGAAAGACGACCACAATCAACATCTAAAAATGACGGGAAAAAAAAAAGAAAAGGAAAAATTGTGGAATGCTTCTTTAAATTGACCTTTCTCCTCTTCTTCTCTAGGTGGCGCTGCAGGCCGGCTGGATCAGGGAAAAGAGCAGAGTCCCAGGTGAAATACCGCTTCCCTTCCGTGTGCTCGATGTCCAGCCAAATGACGTCGTACGGGATGTCGTGGTGGTCAAATCCCGCGTCCACAGCCTTCACGTCGGCTTCGTCGTCGTAGTTCCAGCGACACTGGTGGTACCCGAGAGAAAAGAGAGGAGGGAGCGCTTGATATCCTGTCAGAGGGAGGAGGAGGAGGAGGAGGAGCGCTGCTTTCAGTAACACTGGTAACTGTTGTCTTGTTAAAGTCTTAGTTGTTAAAGTTATTTTTCACACTTAAATGTAGAAATCAAGTATCTCCTCTGAAAATAACTCTGTGATTCATGACTGTCTACAATGGGTGTAACACCCGAGTCCCACTGTCTGTGATGTTTTCAGAGTTTTCAGAGTCCTATCTTCACTTTGTTTACATCGCCCGGACGGCCGGCTGACTCCTCCCCTCGTGTATAAAAGTTGTTTAATTGAGGGACTAGAGAAAAGAAGAATAACATACTGTACTCACTGCTTAACTGTGTTTCTAGATCACGCTCATTTCAGGTAAATTTACATGCAGTGTGAAGATACCAGCATAATAAAGATCGCTAGCATTAGCATGCTAACAGAACAATGCAGCGCGAGTTGTTTTGGTTTCATGCTGGAGCTCAAGGGCGACATCTGCTGGATCAAAACATCACATATAAAGCCTTTCATGTAATAAATAATCGTGTAAAGGTGCTTCAGAGCGTACACACACCTGTCAGCTGAGCGTACTGGGAGAAGAGCTGCTGTGGAGTGGGCCCGAGGAGAACCGTGCAGTCGATCACACCGCTCTCCGACAGCCAGCGGACGTCGGTCTGAGGCTGCGTCCGCCTCCTCTTCACTCGAGGTGTCTGGTCATTCTGCGTGAGGTATGAATGCACATTTCTAAGTTCCTTTCTCAAAAATGTTACATTGCTTTCCTGTCTGATATTTGCAGTGGGAGCTGTGTGTGAACACAAACAGCTTAATGTTTTACACAGACCCCCTCCCATTGGCTCGAGGTAAATTCTCCGTATAATATCCTGCTGCGTTCTCACATCAGCTCACTGAAATGTTCTACATATTTTCAGGGGTGGATGTGTGAAAACAGCTTTAGGGTATCTCTGTATTTTAAGTCAAACACTTTAATTGTTCATCATTTTCCAACCTGTGACTGACAGGATAAAAGACCAGCAGTGGAAAAATCGGTTACCTGATGATCAGACGGGCGGTAATAAACATTCACAAATGTTTCCGATGCATTCAGCCAAAACAGACCCAGAGTCCTCTCTGGTTTGTGAGCCACCAACAGCGGCACCGAGCCGTACAGGCCGAGGCGGCTGTGCAGCTCATAGGCAAACACATCCAGGTTATACAGCCGGTAGGGTTCACCATCTCTGTGAGAGGAAATTAATAAAAAGTGCTACAACAATATAATACTTTATGATTTTATATGAGACTAAACGGCTTTAATAACACTATCCAATCCAATCCATACCTTGCAGCCATTCCCCAAGTTTTTCAGCTGAAAGCCAAATTTCCTTGAACTTGTGTTTCCTTCTCTCTTCCGTTACCAGTTTGGGAATGCTTACTAAAAACGCGGCCGTAAATGTTGCTGTAATGCCGCCAACAAACAAATCCTCAAAGGGTTAAAATACAAATTTTATAGCGCTAACTAGACGGTAAAGTTTTTATCAGACAGTCAAAGTGCTGTCTAATATCTAAGACCTCAAGTGAGAATAAGACTTTGGAAGACACTGTATGACCTTGAATTTTAAAATATCTAATTCAAGACTTTATAAGGATCCGCAGGGACCCGTCTCTGTACCTGGTGTCTTTGAGCTGGAGGCTGTCAGCGTGCTCTGGAAGACCGAACACATGACTGAACCCGTGAAGACAAAAGTCCGACCCAATGCTAGAGGGACCTGAAGAGGAATAAGACACAGATTATTTTCCATTGAGCACAAATGTTAAATTCAGAGCTGTAAGAGGAACTTGCAGCTGTATTTCTGTGGTCTTGTAAACCCTCAGGTTTTAAAACTTTCTGTCTGTTAAAATGTTGATAAAGCAGAAACTAACAGTTAGCTTTGACGTCCTCAAACTGCCTGAAAGTCTCCTTCCATAAGAAACTTGTGTCGTCTTCTTCAAGCTGTCGGGGGAACAAAGCAGAAAAAACAAAAACAGATGTACAAACAGGATTAGCATGACAGCAGGAGTAATGGTGAACACTGTTTGTGTCCTCTTACCTCTCTACCAGGAGGCGTAACCCTGAGGAGAAAAAAACAAAGAATCTAAAAATGTATTCAGTTCTTCATGTGTGGATTTGTGAGCTTCCCTGAGACTCTCACCTGGGTGGATCCTGCAACGTCTCGAACCACAGTTTTCCTTTAGAGTTGAACGTTACCACCACTTCCTCTTCACACAGGATCTCCAGTCGGAACGGGAAATGCCACACGCAAACCTGGTGACATCCTGAAGACCAGGAAAGAGTGATGGAGTGCTGAGACTGTCTTACCACTCTCAACCTGCAGGGGGTGACAGAAAAGAGAAGTTACATCCCTCATTATTCTCATTAATGAGGGATAACGAGGATCTCAGGTGATGCTGATGAGGATCTTACTGTTCACACTGTGGCTCCCCCGTCATCACATCTGGAACTCTGTAGCGTGCCTTCAGAGGACGGAGTTCATCGACGAGTATCTTTACGGTGTCGTTTTTGCAAGGTGACACAGAAAGAAGCAGTTTGGTCTGTGAAAAGAGCGGAGAATTACTTTTTTGATGAAAGGCAAACCAAAGTAATACAGTGAAGAGGTTGGCTAGGGCGAGATGGAAAGGTTTGTAAAGATGCTTACAACCCGCCTCAGCCCATTAAGAAATATATTTTCAATGCTATGATAAGTGCAGATTCTAGCTGTTGTGGCTGATATTTATTCAGCCAATCAGAATCTCCAATTAGCATCAGAAGGGGTCAGGTTTCAGTGTTGTATGCAGATGTCGATTTCATCACCAACAACACAATGCTGAATGTGACCAGAGGCTGTTTTTTCTAACAAATAAGGGACTTCAAAAGACTTATGTTTGAAGATATTTAAGACAAGTTTAATCTTAATCCATGAAAGTGTATCTTTTGATTTCTCTGTCTGAAAAATAAAAATATCAAAGTAGATTGTGTGTGATTTCTTTAAAAATAATTACAGCCACACAGACATGCACAAACATGGCATTAAGATTCCATTTAGTTTTTTGTTTTTGTATATGTTAACGATCAAATTGCATCAAATTAGAGGTGGCCGATATGGGAAAAATATCATATCACAATTTTTGTTTTGACAAAATCACGATCACGATTTTATCACGATTTTTCATACTGATCTTTAGACAAATTTGTAAGTTCAACCAAATTTATTTCCCTGTATAAACTGTGCTGACAAGTTTAATCTATTTGAAAAACATCTTTGTAGGAGGTCTGGAGGTCTCTCACCCAGAACATCTTTAGCAACAGAAATGTCTTTCCCTCAATTTGATCAACATTTATGAACAATTTGAAGGTTTTCCTCACCACTTTGAAATGATGATTTAGTTATGTGTCCTCTTTTTATGTTCATCAGGAACATTTTCACGCAGTGATGCATTCATTTAAAAACATGTAGACTTGAAGTTCTTGTGTTTCTGTTCTGTTTTAGCCCTGCAGAGTTCCTCCAGCTGGAGCTTCATACAGGCTCTGCAGACTTTGATGTTTTTATAACATCATTGGACTAACTTTAGTTTAGTTTATATATAATCAAACATAATACAGAATGTGTTCATTCTGTGACACATGATCAAAGTAAGAGTTAAAAAAATCAGAAAAATCAGTTGTTTTTGCGGACTTTACTTTTAAGTTTCGTTTTCACTGCTGCAGAGCAAAACAGGAGAAGGAGGGGGAGGAGGAGGAGGAGGGGGAGGAGGGGGGGGGAGACGCGTCTGTGTAAGAGCAGAAACTGCAGCATGATAGAAAAAACACATTAGGCCGGTTCTACATCTCCCCCTGCTTTGACAGATCGTCAGCAAGTTGAAATCCTTCACGATATAAGATCGTTATATCGCCCACCACTACATCAAATGTAAATATGACTGACCTGCGTGTCGGGCTCAAGCAGTTCAAAACGTGCCCCCTTCTCTGAGAGCACCATGGTGTCCAGAAGAGCCTTGTACTGTAGGATTGGACCCTGAGTCTGTCGCCTTCAAATCGTGGGAAAAAAACATCAACATATTAAAAGTGTGATAAGTTTTAGACTAATCCTGCAGAGCTTTAATCCTACTGAACACACCAGAGAATAACCTTAACTGTGGGTGAGTCTGTGACGGGTTTGTCAATGTGAACAGTGTGAAGTTGATTGGACAATAAATATCCAATTTACCTGTAAAAAGCAACATGTCCACTCTTCTTGAACTTCTCCTGCCCTTCAGGAACAACACTGAGGGACGAGCAGGGAGAAAGTAAGTACATCATGATGTCTTAAAACTCTTTGCAAAGACTCAACTTTCAATGCAAAACATGTAGACAATAATTGGATTTTCAGAGTC